TCGATTTGCCCTATTGGTCTCCCAGTTGGAAATTTCTTGTAGCCTATTCACGGCATTTCTAATATCTGTAAATTCACCACCAATATTTCGAGGAACACCAGGTGCTCTATTTAATATACTATTGATAATATTGAATGCATTTCGAACCGTTTCACCAAGGGTCTGGACCTCATTTGCATTAGGTGCTTGAGCCATGGCTAAATTCTTTTTTCGGGATGTTATATCTTGGATTCTATTTTTTAGGTCAGTTATTTCTTGTTGAAGGTCTGATATTCGGCTATCTAAAATAACCAAGGATTCCTCTTTATGCCCTATATCCATCAATGCCTTCTTAAGACGCTTTTTCAAATCTGAATTATTTTTACGGAGAACCTCTAGCTCTTCAGCTTGGACTGATATTTCTTCATCCCGATCTGAGATAGCTTTTTCCAGATTATTAATATATGCCTCATTAATAGATAACATTTTTTCTAGTTTTCGAATTTGCTCTAATGACGGCATCTTGTGATCCTATAATTCTGATAGATCCTAAGGCGGAAATAAACTTGATTTGTAAGCTAATTTATTATAGGCCCGAAGGTTATTATCGGATGGCTAAAAAATTTCATGAAGCATGTAAGAAAGCCGGATATAACTTTCATCCAAAATATTTACGTGAATGGCTCCATAAACAGGCAAGTTGGCAGATACATGCTCCTAAACCTCAATATATTCCGTATGCGTCATTTAACAATATTACTATACCAAATGAAGCCTTACAAGCCGATGTCCTTTACACTCCCTATGATAAAATTGACGAAATTACTTATTTATTTTGCCTTACTGTTATAGATATTGCATCTAGGTTAAAGTGGGCTGTACCAATTGGAACTACTCTTGATACAGAAGCTGATGACTTTTCTCTGGAGGGCATTTTAACTTCAGCCGTGATTGCTGAATGTTTTGAGAAAATTTTTAACGATCCGAATTGCCCTCTTACATGGCCAAAATTATTAATAACGGATAAGGGCTCTGAATTTAAGGGTGATTGCAAGAGGCTATTTTTGAAACATGGCGTAAAAATTCAGAGGGCTAATTCGAAGCGTACTATGGGCATTGTTGAAAGATTTAATCGTACTTTATCTGAGAGATTATTTCATATACAATATGCCGAAGAATTATTATTGCCTCTGCCTGATAGATCAAGGGCTTGGGTGAAGAACCTTCCTATAATTATTAACAACCTAAATAATTCCGTGACAAGTCTTACAGGCATTGCTCCGGCAGTTGCATTTAAAATGAAAAAAGTTTATGCTAGGCCCTCATGGCCTGCTCGACGCCCTATCGGTTATAATGAGCCTCTATTGCCTAGCTATACTGAAGTTCGGCATCTTTTGGAACCTGGAGAATTAGAAGGCAGGAAAAAAAGAGCCACTGATTGTATATGGTCGCCTGAAGTTTTCACAATTGAATCTTATTTAGTACAAGAAGGGCAACCAGTACTTTATAAACTTTATAATGGTCCTAAACGTTCTTTTGTAAGGGAGGAGCTTCAAATTGTTCCTCCAGATACTATGTTACCACCTGAGTATATTCTTAGTGGAACCAGCATAGTTAAGCATTAGATTTTCCGCCCCTTTCCTCAACTTGATATAAAATTTGTTCGAAAGCATTACTTAAGTAATCATCTATTTCTGCTCGATTATATACTATAATTTGCTTATTTCTTAGCCAGTCAGTTCGCGATTTTTTATTTTTGTCTGCCTCCTTATCAGCTCCTGGTTTTTTGTCTACTAGAAATTTTGTAAGAGAGCATAATGCAAATTTGAATTGACCACGCTTATCAAATTCTTTTTCAAGTAAATCCCGAAATGGCTTTCTTTGGCTCTCTAGTATTTTTCTTATATCGCTTCCATTGTCTGGATGATATCTCGGGACTTTTGCATTATGCACGGCTACAGCCCGTCTTTTAAGTGCAGGGCCTAACTGTTGCTCTCGAAATACTAAATTTTTTTCATAGTCTCCAGTAATCATACTGAGACGCTCAAATTCCTCATTTGTTTGGTCTATTGCAGTTTTTGAACCTTTATTGCATAGCAATGACCCTTTGGGTCTAGGAGAGTCTATAACTTGACTTTCTGTGGAACGGGACACTTCATGTCTAACAGGCTGTGATACTTGTCCCTCTATTGCGGAGCAATGGCTCTTTGAGCCTACTTCGATTTCAGGTTCTCCAAAGAATTCTTCTTCTTCTTTTGTAAGCTTTGTAGGTTCTATATAGTCATACGCCTCATCATCCATTTGCAATAATTCATCATAAAGAGCTTTGCATTCTGCTAAATTTTTGGGTTGATCACGATCTTTAAGACTTAGATACTTAATTCTTTTTCGTAATCTTGAACCCCATTGCTTAACTGTTTCCCCTGGATTTCTGTCATTAAGATTCTTGTACGGAATGGGCTCTATGCCCTGCATATTAGCGGAATTAGTAATTATTTCGGGTTCAGCTATGGGGGCTTGAGGTCTGCACGGGTTTTTTCTTTTGAGATGCTCACGTAGCTTTTGGGGTGTTGCGCATGTATAGCCACAGCGTTCACAAGTTCTATTCTTTTTTACCATATTGGTCTAACCGTTTCGTTTTATTTTACTTATACAAAATCTTTTCTTTAAATAAATAATTATTTCTATATTCTAAAAATG